CTGGCTGATGGACAGGGAAGGTGAGCCCAGGGCTGGGGGCTGCAGAACTGGCTGATGGACAGGGAAACTGAGCCCAGGGCTGGGGGCTGCAGGGCTGGCTGATGGACAGGGAAACTGAGCCCAGGGCTGGGGGCTGCAGGGCTGGCTGATGGACAGGGAAACTGAGCCCAGGGCTGACTGATGGACAGGGAAGGGGAGCCCAGGGCTGGGGGCTGCAGGACTGACTGATGGACAGGGAAACTGAGCCCAGGGCTGACTGATGGACAGGGAAGGGGAGCCCAGGACTGACTGATGGACAGGGAAGGGGAGCCCAGGACTGGCTGATGGACAGGGAAACTGAGCCCAGGGCTGGCTGATGGACAGGGAAACTGAGCCCAGGGCTGGGGGCTGCAGGGCTGGCTGATGCTCTGGCTCTGGAGAGGGAAGCTGAGCCCAGGGCTGTGGTTCCCGCTCTCCATCTGCCAGGGAAAAGCAATTCCAGTGGGGCTGGAGCTTTGCTTAGAGGATCAGGTGGCCAGAGTAGGAACCAGGAGTGGAGTTGGGTTACCCCGGGCTCATCCATAATGAACACGGGGCAGAGCCTCAGGCAGGGAGGGGAAGGGCTGGATCCCCCCAGTGCTGGCAGGGAGGGATGGTGGGCACGGGGGCACCATTAAAGGTGTACCTTTATTTAGTGTAGAGACACTGAATAGGATGGAAAAGTGTCAAAATAAATGGGGAGGGTTTTGTCCTGTGGGTTTGCAGGCTGTGCTTGGGGGCATCCTTCTCATGCAGCCCCAGGGCAGAGCAAGAGTGGGGCCTCCAGAACCAGGGGGACCAAGAGGAGCTGCCCCACCTCACCCCTGAACCAGCTCAGGTTCCTGGGGCCACCAGCCTGGCAGAACCTTCACAAAGTGGCTCTCCTGGAAAGCAGGGGCTGCCAAGCACCTCCAGTGTCCAGGTGACATTTGGGGTGTCCAGTCCCCAAAGGGGGTTTGGTGCAAGCAGTGAAGCTGAGCAGTGCTGGAGAGGGGAGAAAGGGGCAAGGGCAGCAGTGGGGTCGGTGGGCCCACCCCCCTCTCACCCAGCTGCTCATGCTGTGGTTGTGTGAAATGGTGACGCTTCCCTCTTGGTTTGATTCGTTGGAAGAAAAAGGAGAATGTGGCAAAATTAAGACACGCACAGAGAATGAAGGAAAAAGGTGTCATAGAATCAGAATAGAATTGGTGAGAGTGGAAATCCCTGTAAGATCATCGAGGTCAAGCCCAGCACTGCCAAGGACACCATTTGTCTCTCAGTGCCACATCCACACATCTGCAAAAGGTCACAGAACCCTGGGATATCCTGAGAGGAAGGGACACTCAGAGATCATCAGTGCAGCCCCTGTCCCTGCACAGACACCCCAACAGCCCCACCCTGAGCAGCCCTGAGAGCGCTGTCCAAACGCTCCTTGAAGATCATCTCCCGTCCTTCCAAAATTGCACTTGAGCAATGGGTTTAATCCCAGAGATTGCTGCTCTGGGATAACAGGATCAGGACAAGAAATTATCATGGAGATTGCCTCCTTCCCCGAGACCTGAGCACACAGAGCCAGTCACAGCCCCCTGAGGCTGTGCCCATGTGCCACCAGCCCATGGGGACAGGAGGGAGGGACATCAGCCTTTGGTGTCCTTTATCAGCACAGTGGGTGTGAGGAGCAGGAGATGCTGGGCTGCTGACCCTGCTCCATCAGTGTCACCTCTCTGTGGGATCTGGGGTCCCCATCGCTCTCCTGTCACCCCCTAAACCAAGCAGCAGCCACCTCAAGATGGGCCTTTTGGGGATCTTTAGGCACTGAGGACCTGCAGTGGCACTGAGGTGGAGCACTGCTCAACCTCGACGGCCTGGAGCAGCCACAGATGTCACATCGTCCTCTTCCCTCACCCCACATCCTGCTGGGCTCCCACAGACAGGTTTGGGGTGCCCCGAGGGGCAGACGGGAGTGTGAGAGGGGCTCCCTGGAGGTCAGAAAGGCTGGAACCACCCCTCGGGGTCTGCACCCCAGTTTGTCCCAGTGCTGTGGGAGCCATGGGACAAAGCCCCCCCATGATGGAGGTGTCAGTGCCACTCCTTGCACCTCCCCAGGGGTGGCTGGAGGGGCTGGCTCTGCTCTTGGTACCCCCAATATCCTCTTGCCAGGCTCAAAAACACCCCACAGCTCCCCAACCGAGCATCTCTGCCACTTAATTAGGTTAATGACTGTGCTTCATTAAGGAAAGGTGGCTGAGGAGTTTGCGGTGGCGTTTCCAGGCAGCCTGGCAGATTTGGGGCACGGCTGGGGACAGGGAGTGGGAAAGGGGAAGCAAAGAAAAGGGAAAGCAGTAGCGAAGTGCTAATCCCTGGAAAGGAGGGCAGAAAGGAGGGCAGCCAGGGCACGGCGCCGCGGGGTTAATCCTCCTCGGCAAAGATTGTGCCGGGGCCACCCTAATCTGCGGGGGCCACCCTAATCTGTGCTCCCAGACCAGAGGGTGGGACAGGGACAGGGACAGGGACAGGGACAAGGACAGGGATAGGGACAGGGACAGGGATAGGGACAGGGACAGGGACAGGGACAGGGA